GGTTGCAAAGCCATTAAATGATTTGAACATTTTTTATTTAAAATATGGCCGTTAGGCCCGGACTGGCCGGTCACCATTTTGCCTGTCCCGCAGCCCGGCCCCTCTCCCCGGTTTGGCCCCCCAGTACCGGTCCTGGTACTGTCCGGCGGTTTGTGTTGGGTCTGCACAGTGGCAGGCCGGGCCGTCCCGTCCCAGTCTATCCCTAGGTGAAAACATGAATTTCAGCAAATCTACCGAAGTACTACTTTTTAGAAATGTAATATCTTGCTGATATCAATCATTGAATTCACAACATGCTAAAACATAACATTATACACACACACAAACACACACACATATAGGTTTTGGTGTAAATAAGAACATGACCTTAGAAGAGAAATGAGAATGAATCTGGACCGTTGGATTTGCTTTATGTGATATTTGATGTGCATTAGATGAAACTGCAATGTGTAATAGGTGAAACTGAAATGTGTAGCACAAAAGGTACGATAAAGTGACATTATATGAAGCAGAATTGTGCATTAGGTGATTTTGAAATATGCACTAGGTGAAACCAAAATGTGCAGAATAAAAGATACGATGTGATGATGTTATTTTTGTACCTTTTATTCTGCACATTTTAGTTTCACCTAATGCACATGTGATTTTAAATTTTTATTCTGCATATTTCAATATCATCTAATACACATTTCAGTTTCACCAGATGCACAATTCAGTTCCACATAATTCAATCCAACGTTCCAGATTCGTTCTCATTTTTCTCCTAAGATCCGTTCTTACCGGAACCGCTCCCTATATATATATATATATATATATATATATATATATATATATATATATATATATATATATATATATATAGACACACACATGAGCTCTGTGATCTTTGGTTGATGAACTTTAAACATTTGGTGTTATTAATTTTGAAAGCTCATTTATTTAGTTGATAGGAAGGAGTTTTTTCCCAAAATAATGTTAATTAAATAAATAATTCCCAAAATACTGCTGGGTTAGAAATAATTCCCAAAATACTGCTGGGTTAACCGTGGTTAAGAAAAGCCGCCACTTGAAGTGGTGGCTCTTCTCTTACAGCACAAAAGCCGCCACTTCAAGTGGCGGCTCTTCTCTTACAGCACATTTTGTACATATATAAAATGCAGTATGTTTCAAGATTTTTTTAACTATCTTCCCGATTGATTTTTGAGCTGAAATTTAGTATGAATAAACTAGACTTGATGAAGAACATGCTCAAAAAATTTCATCAAAAAATTTCACCAGGAAGACCCTCTGATGGTGTTGTCCGCACGGGGGTTCCGGTCAGGACGTCATGACAGGAATGAGACATTTTTATAAAATTTGAGGGGCTTCCGAGTCAAGTTTTTTGATAAAATTTGGTGATCGTGTTCATCCTAAAGTGTAGGTTATGTCCACCGAATTTCAGTTTAAAATTAAATCAAGAAATTAGTTAAATAATTTATTGAAAAAAGCTGCATTTTTAGGCCGAAAAAATTATGCAATTTTTTAAAATTTATTTAACTAACTTCCCGATTGAATTTCAATCTAAAATTTGGTGGACATATCTACAATACATGGGAACATGCTCACCAAATTTTATCAACAAATTTGACCCGGAAATAGCTCAAATGAAATAGGCCTAAAATTGCAACTTTTAGACCTACTTTACATGAATTTTTACACGGGACAAAATTTTTTCCATGAAAATTTTAGAAATTATGCAACTAAATCGTTTGGTATGTTATTTCCCGGAAGCAATATTTTATAATTTCTTATTGTTTCATATTTGTTGATAATTTGCCCATAAGTCATCATGTTTTAGCTGCATGTGTTATATATGATATGCATTTCCATTTTTACATTATTTTGAGCATTTCTATCAATAGTTTGTATGTTGTAGGATTACACATGCTTCTCTAGATTACAGAACTTGAATTTACTGTTGCCTTCCAAACCTAGAGCAATAGTTGATACAAGTGTTGAAAGTTGAAACTGTTTCCAATGGCCATAAACTTCCCAAATAGAGTTCATATTTATTTAGCAAGTGGAAGAGAAATAATTGTTTGTTAAGGGCATAATGATGGTGTGATAGCTCGAATCAGTAGTTGGTTCCTTTCAATTGGGAAGTTAGTTAAACAAATTTTTGAAAATTTGCACAATTGTTTAGGCCTAAAAATGCATGTTTTTTCAATAAATAATTTAACTAACTTCTTGATTTAAATTTAATCTGAAATTCGTTGAACATAACATACACTTTAGGAAGAACATGATCACCAAATGCAATAAACAAAATCAACTCAGAAGCACCTCAAATTTCATAAAAATGTCCTTTTCCTGTCACGACGTCCTGACCGGAACCCCCGTGCAAACAACACCATCAGAGGGTCTTACCAATGGAATTTTTTGATGAAATGTTTTTGAGCATATTCCTCATCAAGCCTAGTTTATTCATACAAAATTTCAGCTCAAAATTCAATCGGGAAGATAGTTAAAAAAATTCTTGAAACATACTGCGTTTTATATATGTACAAAATGTGCTGTAAGAGAAGAGCCGCCACTTGAAGTGGCGGCTTTTGTACTGTACAAAATTCTTAACCACGGTTAACCCAGCAGTATTTTGGGAATTATTTTTAACCCAACAATATTTTGGGAATAATTTGTTTAATTAGCATTATTTCGGGAACAAACTCGATAGGAAGAGAAGGAAGATACTAGTCATTTATAGATCAAGGAACATTTAAGAGGCACATGTTTATCCCAATTATTTAGCTGATAGGAAGAGAGGGAAGATACTAGTCATGTATATATAGATAATGCTTTGTTCAGCTGGATAGCCAGATAGATAGCTACCAGGACTCTTGTAACACTCTGCCTATTTTTAGATTCTATTTATATACGTAGTAGTATTTGTTTATTTATTTGTTTTGTGACTATACCTGACTTTTATGTGATTCAAGGTGTCACATCAATGAGAGAGCAATTCGAAAAGAAGCAGTTTTAGTTACTGCTCCTGTGTTGCAAAGTTTCAAGAAGAATTATACATTTCAAACTTCAATGTATATTATATTATATATGTAATATATAATTCTGTTTATAATATTGATTATTGATTTCATTGTTTGGTGTCAATTAGTGGTGGAGTCGGTGCGGGGCACCCGACCCGGGACTCGGCCCGGCCCGGTCTGTAGGATCGGTACCGGGTATTGACCCGAACCAGGGGGGTTTGTGGGGCGGGCTCGGGTAGGCAAAATGGTGACCCGGCCCGGCCGGGTCGAGCCTGGGTTTGGGTCCAAACGGTCAGATTTTTATTTTTATTTTAAATCAGGCCAAACACAGCCCTAGCCGTTGGGCTGGGCTCCCAAATGGCTATATAGCCGTTGGGTGGGTGACAGGGGGTCCCGGGCTTTTGCGGGGGTGGGGGGAGGGTGGGGGGTGGGGTTAAAAGAACTATAAATACTCCTAAGTTTAAACATTTTTCCACACCTTTTCTCCAACTCTTCCTAGATCCTACTCTCTACTCTCTATTCTCTAATCATCTCCAGTTACTATTTCAAATGTACTTCCTATTTCAAATAAATGCACTTGAATTTTGTTTATAATACACAACACTTGTATAAATAAGTAGCAAAAAAATGAAATTGAACCGACCCGGCGGGTGGCCTGACCCGTGACCCGGGCGGGTGGCCCGGACCGAACCGGCACCGGCCATAGCACGGGCCGGTCCCGGGCTCCCTTCAAAAAAACCGAGGCCCGACCGGGCCTAGGCTCGGCCCGAGCCCGACCTGGCCCGGGTCCATCACTAGTGTCAATATTTCAGGTTTGGAATTCAAGACCTGAAGCACATACACAAGAGTAATGATATTAGAAGCGTATAATCCACATAAAGTTTTTGTAAATGAAGTTATGGACGCGAAAAATTCAACTATACGTAGTTTATTGCGGAGTATACTTTTGTTAAGTTTAAACTTTTGTGGAGTTGCTTTTGTAATAGTTGTTATTCATTAATGAGTTTGTAATGAAACAATTTAAATTTTATTATGGTGTCACGAACCAAAATATGGTTTTAGTCCCTGCAAATAGGCATTGACCTGGTTCGGGCCGCCCGGCTCGGGACCGGCCCGGCCCGCCACTGTGCGGGCCCGGAACCGGCCCGGTTCTCGGGTCCGGGTTGGACCTAGGCCCGGTGGGGGGTGGGGGGGGGGGGGGGGGCGATCCAGGCTCGGGCCTTGTATTTGGCGAACCGGCCCGGCCGGGTCGGGCCCGGGCCGAATTGATTTTTTTTTTTATTTTTTTTTTTTCATTTTTTGGGGTTAGCCGGGTTGGGCTTGATGATTAGGAGGGGTTTGGGGGGGTGGGGGGGGTGAGTGGGGGGGGGGGGGTTAGGAAAGCAAAAAAAAAAAAATTATGACCGAACCGGAGGCCCGGCCTGGCCCGGACCCGGACCGGACCCGGTGGCTACCCGGGCCGGTCCCGGGCCTTCCTTCCCAAAAAAAAGCCCGGCCGGGCCCGGCCCGGGTCCATGACTACCTGCAAATATGACACACTTTGTTTTAGGCCCTCGCAAAATATTTTCTTTGTTTTTCATCCCTGTAATATGCGCTATTTTGGTTTTAGTCCATCTCTAACTCCGAAACAACTCGACTTAGAATTTTTTCTATTGCCGGGTGCATAAATCTACTACAAACATTTAAAATTATCAGTTCATAAAAATTTGAAGCTAATAAGAGAGTTAACAATATGAAAACTAATTGTTCTCATTTTTAAAATATGTATTAAAAACCCTCAAAAAATGAAATTAAATACTTTTTGAATGACATGACAAAGAATTAAAGGATACATATTAGTCGGTATTGTTTCATTGTCCAGCGGAGGTTGTTATCATTAGTCATGGACTCATGGACTAAAAAGAAAATCAACGTAAATTTCAGGCATGAAAAACAAAGAAAATATTTTGCAAGGACCTAAAACAAAATTTGTTATATTTGCGGGGACAAAATGTTTATACATTATTTTGTTATGACAGGTATCTTGCTTTATGAAAATTAAAAAGAGAAACTTAAAAATTGGAGGCACTCAAAATGCTAAATGCTGTACAACGTAGTTTTAGCGCCTCCAATTAACGTTTTTCCACTGGTGTTAATAGTGTTAGATACAGACTATACGTTTATACAATGCATGCCTGTTTCAACATACTCTGTATAAGGTTTGAATTTTAAGGAAGCTAACGAAGGGTAAATGCTGTAAAGTTTGGACATTCAATTCCGAATATGGAATTTGACAATTACAAAAATCAGATTGAGTGTCCATCAATCCATCAAACCAACAAACTAGAGAGCCCATATACAAACATTCAGACATTGTATTCACCAACATGCATCCATTTAGTAGAAGACCATTTATTTCCTCCTATCACTGGACAACCACCTGGAGTAAATACAACCAAAATGATTTTTCACAATCAAGGAAACCTACCAGACAATCTCATAAAGGTCACTATAAATTGGCATAATGACTTGGGTCATTTTGGCCCGCTGGAGCTTATTTCAGAAGAGGCTTTCTCAACTACGAATGCTCTTACCAACTAGTTCTCTCAGAATCTTAAATTATGGGAATTCGAATCCCTTATCCCTAATGCTTTCTCAGCCCTAATTCTTTAGTTCTCTTTAGGTAGAGTTGGCGGCAATACAGAGAGAGAGGTGCACCACAATATGAATGTGGCAAAACTTTTAAAAAGAAGGAACTATTATTACCATGCAAACTTGATGGATCCAAAGTCCCGTCAGGCCTCATGCTCCAAAACAGTAACGCATCCCCCATTTTTGGTTTCACAGAAAGGCCCCTTTTAGCACATTCTGACATCTCATTCCACCCAGGCACAGAGCTAAAATTGCCTTTCGCGGAAGGAAAAACAGTCTCACCCCCTTCTTCAACATCTGAACTGCACAAGTCCCGTCATATAAAATGAATTCATACAATAATATAGCATTTGGACAACACTTCTAAATGTATATGATGCACTCAGAAAGTAACACTTCGAAGAATTATTGAGAGCTCTACAAGAACTTCTTCAAAATGCACTTTTCATTGGCTTCAATATATTTCAGTCCTGCATATATAGCACCTTTTGTTATAGATCACTGCAAAATATTTTTTTTTATTTCCGATCCTTGCAATATGCACTATTTTTTTAAGTCTCTCTCTAACTCTTGGGGTAATCTCCATATAAGAAAAAATTAATCTAGCTTGCATAACTCCACACTAAACTTTTCACTTCCGCTTTTTAAAAATTTTGGAGGCAATTAGTAGAGTTACAACTAAGTGAATCTAAATTCAAGTTTTTAATATGTCTTAAGACTCTTAAAAATTTGGTTCGAATATGTTTTTAGTCCCTGCAAATATAGTGCACTTTGTTTAACATCCTTGCATTTTGTATCAGTGCAGCACAAGTATATATAACAATGCTCGGAGGCATAAAATGCTACTGGAGTAACACAATAATGGAGGAATAGCTTACAGATACATGAGTACAGTAGCTATACGTTGTCCCCCATTCTTCGTATTGAAATCATCGAGAAAATAATCAAAATGAGGCTCATACTTTTGTCCAACCTCATAGTGGAGAACTTGTAGACCTTCACCATTCTCTGAGTCAGTTACTTTCATGTTAGGGAGCTCACGAAAAAGTTACTAAAATAAGTTGAAAAGACTCCTCTAATAACCGATGTAAGCTTGAAAATGAGATTAATCTCCCAACAATGTTTAGGTGAGTGGTGTAAAATTTAATAATTTATGGCTCCAAATAATTTTAAATCTAGTTAACATTATCAATTCATTCAAAAAAATATTGACAGTTTGACGCCAGATGTACATTTAGTACCTTATTAAGTTATTAGCAAATACGATAGTCATAATAGAGAGAAGGCAGTAAAATGACAAAATCCGGTCAACAATTCAAGATTCTAGATATGTGTTTATAGTATCATTTTCTCATTTTTAATTTTGGCATATTTAGTTAGACAAGTTAAAAAATGCCTTCATAATGCAAAATACTCTTCAATCTCCATGTTGTGTGGACCCTTTGGGCTTTTCATGGCACTCTTCAACATTGTCTAGAATTCAGGCTTGATAACTCTTCATATTTCTTGGACATTATATGTGCTTATGTTAGAATGTTTGAAAGTTAAATGTACAGAAAACAAGTTCTATTAAAAAAGGTCAAAAACATGTTAAATATCTCTTAGTTCTAGGCTCAACATATTGTGTTGGTATCTTTAAAGGTTTAATGTTTGTAAAATACATTGTGCTACAAAGGTCCATAATTGTGTCAGATATGCCTCAATTCTAGAAACTCTGCATCTCTGAATCACCTCATCTTTTGGGTACCTCACCAAATGGTATTTGCCACCCACTAGACCTTTCAGCTTTCCTGTTTCCTTACAATGTTTATGAAATTGGCATGGTAATTGAAGTGGCTGAGTGAAAGTGAGCAAATCTTATGTAAACAATGACCCAAGAACTCATATTCATTGCTTGATTAACATAATCATAATAGTTTTTTTAAAACATTACTGAAATGAAACTTATTTACAAAAATATCACAAATAGTTACTATAGTATTATCTCATAGTCACTTAAGTATAAACAATGAGCATAAGTTACTACTTACTACTATAGTCGCTACACTTAATGAGGTTGTTTTTGTAAACAACATATATTTTAGTCATATATATGTAATTATTTCTAATCATAATCCACAAGAGTGTTAATTGATCTATGCTATGGCAAATCTGCAATAATCAAGGTGTCATACCAACAGGAATGAATGTATAGTCCGCTATCCTTTTTTCAATGCTTTTAACAACTTGATCCCTTCCCCTCTTTAAAAACATTCCTGAACTTGTACGAACCCTGAAATGAAAAAAAATCAATACTGTATTCAATATCGGGCAGAAAAGGGGAAAGAGATAATGGAGGTATGAGCATTTAGTACCTGCTGTCTTTACTTTTACCAGTTTTGCTATCTACAACAGTTGACTTTGCCATGTGAGGCTTGGCTAGACTTATTAAGTATTCACATTCTTCCCTGGACTGTAAAATCACCAAGGAAAAATAAAGTTAATCATATGTGAGTCACATAATCTAAGTGCCTTAAGCTTAGTAAGGATATATGATCATATGCCACATGTGATACACTACTAATCTACTATGATATACTCGGGTCTCACATAATGGCAAACGTGAATCCTGGCTGAAATTCACTGATGAAACTTTAAGAATCAGAGAGCCGTATAACAAGAGTCAATAAGAAACCTTTATTAAAAAAATACTAGAAATTAATTTATTTTGACCAAAGAATAATACTAATTGTTCACTAGTACCTACTACAGTACTACTTTACTCAAATCATGGAAAATTATGAAAATAAAATCTATAAAACATAATCATCACCTAGGCGCTTAGAACAAACGAAACCATCATAAAGAGAAAGAAAAAAGGTCAGAGAAATGCCAAAAGTTGTTTTTTGAGGGAAAGAAATGCCAAAAGTTTAAATACTGGCAGTCATCAGTCAATATGAAGCTGAAAATAAGAAGGTCGTTTCTTTTTTGTCTCGGGAGTGTTTGATACTCAATTTCATACGAGGAAGGCTCATTTTACTGAAACTTTAATTTGACTTGGTACCATGACTGTGATACAACCCGATGTACCATTAACGAACGGCTTAACAGGGTATACGAAGGAAAACAATGTCTTCATAAATAAATAAATAGGAAATGAACGTGATACTAACCAAGAAATTGTGAAAAACAAAAGCCCTGGGCTCCCAAGAAAGAATTTCAGTCCATTGTTCTCCTCTTTTCCCCAAACCGTCCTCCTCCACGCTGCATCAAAACCAGTCTTCGATTAGATACCGTGATCAGCTACACAGTTCAATTCGACGAGTACCATATGAAACGATTCATACATATCCAAAGCTGAGCGCTTGAATCTGATACGGCTCCGGGAAAATGAGGGTTCGTCGTCAGATCTGATAGGGACATTGAGTATTCCAAGAGCGAGGAGCATCAGAAGCACAAGTGACAGCATGAGAAGCATGGAGAGCACCAGAGACAGCGTAGAGGTTTTTTTCCATTGGTGCCTACTCACCCTTGCCTTAGCCATTGCTAACCACCTCAGCTTAGCTTATTATTTTACACCTTCAACTTTCTTTAGGTTACGGGAGGTCACAAGCAACATTTGCATTAAAAAGAAATTCGATGATGAAAAAAGACATTTAAAAAAGTGTGAGGGACTTCTCTAATAGTCTCTACATCTTTTTTGGAAAGGAAATTGACAATCTATATTAAGAGAAATTCTTCGTACACGAAATACGGACATATACACGTTTTTATACTTATTTGTGAAAGCTATTTTTTGTCTGAGAAAACACTATGCACAGACAATACTATTGGTTTGTCTGTCCACAGTGTTTTCAAATACAAAAAATAGCCTTCACAGACAAGTGTAAAAACGTGTATGTCCTTAAAAAAGTAGTTAGAATCCTTGACCATCAAACGATTCAAGCCTACTTAAATGTTCTCTGGCCAGATTACTTATTGATGGTTGTAATTTGTAAAAAACTAACCTTGAGGGCAATGCATTGTGAAGTGTTGCTTATTCTCATAGATTGTCCCTGAATCTAAAGGAATTAATCACACTTAATTAATTAGAAAGTATTACTTATTATAAATAAATTTTGTACAATCATTACAATCTATACTAATATAAAAGCAAAAGAATTTTGTGAATAGTATTCCCTCCCAAAAATGTCAACATCAAGCTATAGTTGGAAAAAAATGTTGGTTCACATGGTAAAACAAAAAATAACAATGGGTAAATAAGAATGCATTTTGGTGGGTCCGATAGATGAGTTCCGATTGCTTAAAAAATAGTAGAAACAGTAAAGCAAGCATGCTCCTGCACTCCTAATGGTCAAAAAATATATTCACACTGTTCATACACACTAAAACAGATTGTGTGAATCCGGGTTATCCCACCAACCCTAATCATTTTCGTGGCTTAGATTCATGAGAATTTTTAGCAAATCAATCCTATTGGTTCAAAGAGAGGTGCAGCTAATTCCCATTGGTTCTAAAGGGAGGTGTGAACTGTTGACATGAAATACGTGAGAAGATGTCCAAAAATCACTGTTTGAATTACTTTATTTTTATTGGTTGAATGGAGGTGGGAACAGTGAAACCGATGGAGTGTATCTCATTCCTAACAAGTTGCAATGCCACGCTCATCTATAAAAGAAACCGGGCATAAGAAGGATCTCTTGAATCTCTGCACGTAATTAGGGATTTGAGTCTGAAAAGAAAATACGGAGTAGGAAAAAATAACCTTTTGAGAGACAAAGGCCTCTGTCGAGAAAATAGAAGGGGTTATAATGCAAAGTCAGACAACATCCATGAGAATAGCCTCATATTCAGATGGAATCAAAGATAATAACAGCGAAACAAAGAGGCGTTTGTTTGAGGGGATGGGAGGTCTTGGTTCGGCACTTCGGCTACTTGGGTGTCGTTAGGGAGATCCCCATCGGTGACTTTCAATCATCACATCCAGCAAGATCCGAGAGATGGAGTGAGGAAAACTAATCAGAGATGGGTCTCCAGTTTTCCGTGCGTCAGAGCCGAGCGCCGTTCCTCCAGCGTCAGCGCGTGGCGGCCGATGCTGCGCGGTAGCAGACCTTTCAGGGACTACGATGCTGGACGGAGGATGTGGGTTGCTCTCAGTTCATCGATTGGAGGTCCGTCCGCCAGCACTTGCGAACAGATATCCGACCCTAGCAAGAAGAGAGCTCGAGGATGCTCTACAGGTCTTCAATCCGGCGACAATCAAACTATCGAGGCGGTTGGAGGTAAAAATAGGGGAAGTCAGCAGTGGAAATTACAGGCAGTGGAGATTACAAACAACATTTGTGTGTTAAAATCGAAAGCGACGAAGGTGGGGAAGGGAGAAGGGGAGACGTTCTGGAAATCCGATCTAGAAAATACTAATATGGAGTATCCGTTCTGGAAATCCGATCTAGAGTATACATGTGTAGTGTTAGACTGTTTGTGGAGGTGGGTATGGGTAAATCCTAAAATTCTAGAATTTGAATACGGAGTATGGATATTTGTTTTTGAATATATGAATCAATGTATGGTTCCTAATTTTCTCTAATTAAATAAACATTTCACAATAAGTGATGAGAGTGATCCGTTTCACAACTCATATTTTTGACTTGAACTAACTTTATTGGTAAATAAATACAAAGTTTACAATTCCATGCATGTAATAATTAAATTAAGTAAATTTTGATGTATACTTTATTTATTAGTTAAAAATATGAGTTATCAAACGGAGCAAAAACAACTACTTAGGGGGTGTTTGGATCTGATTCTCAAAACTGCTTCTGCTTCTTCAAGGAGCAGAAGCAGAAGCTGGAGTGTTTGGGTGAAATTCCAGAAGCACTTCTGGAGCTCTAATTTACTCTCAGAATCAGTTTTTTTAGAAGCTGGGAGTACCATCTTCTGAAAACTGATTTTGATTCTGCTTCTGCTTTTAAAAAAGAAGCAGAAGCAGAATCAGTTCCAAACACCCCCTTGGTACGTCATTATGATTAGATTAAATGTGTTTTGAAATCAAATGTGCTTAAAACCATTATTATTTCAAATAGGGATTCAACTCACTTTTTTGGAAACATTCAACTCATTTAAAATAGTAGGAAAACTTATATAAACATTATTTAAACATTTTTTAAAAATTTATATTGGGTAGAAAAACTTATATAAACATTACTTAAACCTTTTTTGACAAATTTATATTGAAGAGTTTTAAGGATGTTTCTGTTTGGACTTATTTCAATTTCAAATCAGAACAAACAAGGTTAGGCTTAAACGGATCATACCACACTAGATCAGATTTTGACATTTATAAAATACATATAGTCACGATATCTACCAGACTAGACTAAACCAGACCAAATAAAACCAGATTAGATCAAATCAGAAACATTCAATCCAATTAAAAACACCCTAAGAATGACATAAGTATTTTCACATATCTGCACTCCAACTTTAATCCATTTTGTATTGTTCAACTATTAGATTCATTTTTAGCTCACCTAAGGTTATTTAACAATTTTTCATTGTCTTACATTTTCCATAACAACAATAACATACACTTTTTTTGGAAATGATCATCCACCGTGCATCGCACGGGTACCGTACTAGTTGAGAAAAAGGAAAATGTTATAAAGTGATCCCTTATGAGGTACAAATTACATTTATAATTATTTGAGCACAACGAGAGGTATCCTTACAGCCACACAGAGGTAGGATTTTTTTTCTAAGAATATTCTTTGATGTTGAGTACGTACGTAGTATCCTCAAACCACATAGAGAGGTAGGTATGTATGTATTTAAGATTATGTCTTTGATAGTGGGTAATGTCTATTCTCATGCATACAGATATTTGATTTATATGGAGTTAGCTTGCGTTAGGCTTTCCAGACACCCAATTGTGTGAAGGAGTTAAATATGCAGATGGCTATTCTTCAGCAGTGTTTGTGGCATGCTTGAAAACATTTGTTGAACAATCATTAAAATAGCAGACATGTGCGTTCAATCCTTCTCGTAGGCTATTCATTTAGGCACATCAAACCAATCCCCTTCCCGAGATGAGGCTAAGGTGGTTGAAAAGGAAGTAGGCAATAGTCTCAGACGCTTACGAAGAAGCCAAAGTTCCCCGCTCACTCTGAGAATCAAGGCTAAACCAAATCACGAAGAATCAACGTAACGTGGTTTATGGACTCCCGAAAGCTTTGCGACTGCTGCTTCTATTCTATTAACGATTGCACACTTAATGATCGTTATGTAAAGGGGCTGTGATAATTAAGGATAGTTTAGATAATTAAGTTATTTTTCATTATTATTATCAAATTAAGGGCTTGTGAATATTTTTTAAATGGCTTGTACGTGATTAGTAACAAAAGGGCTGTAAAAAATATTTCCCTTTTGTATTTTGGAGGATTCTATTTACGTTTTTATTTTGACTTGTATGTTATGCCAAACATGTTGAATTTGCAACTACTCTATGGTCGATAGGAGCATTGACCCATGACAGTTTGTAATGAGTTGTTCCTGAATGGAGCATCTAAAAAAGAAACCGCAAACTTTAAGCTAGAGTTTAAAATTTCGCTAGAGTTTAAAATTTAAGTATTAAAACTCAACTAACCAATTACTTACTACGTAGTATTTCCTAAAACATTATTCTTTGATCAAAAATAAATTTCTAAAAACGCTTTTTCTGTAAGAGGACTTTTCAAGTTTTCAATAGGAGTCACAATCACAATTTTATGGCATTGTTAGTCAAGTGATAGCCTTGAAAAATACTCAACCTACTAAAATATTTTTAGCACATGACATGGCTTTGGTCAACTCAGATTGTTTCTCTCAATGGCCGATCCGCCCGATCGACATCCTTTTATGGAAATACCAAATATATACGTAGTACAATATTATATAAAATTATTGGCTAATTATTTTTTGCCCAACACTTAGAGTTACTTTATATTTTTGTTTTCACATACAAAGTTTTGTATGTGGATATTTGGATCCATGAAAATATGACATTGCAAGTGATAAAGGTATGTACATAATGCATAATATAAGTATATAACTTAGCTCTTATACATTCTTGCAAGTCTAGAGATACAGAAGAGTAATTAATACTTTAATTAGGTTTCATATTTTGTATGTTTCCTAATGTACTCAGAACAATTTTTATTATATATATGACATCTAGGGCTACCATATGGGTAAGCCTCCCAATTATTCTCATATGGTATCAGAGTTCTAGGTTTTGAACCGAAAACTATTTTTAATCTCAAAACAGATATATCGGCATGTGATCCTTCCTGTTTTTCGATTGCTAATAAAGATCCTAAATGGCGTGGTGCTATGGCAGAAGAGTTTAATGCACTTCTTGATAATCATACTTGGGATTTGGTTCCATTTAATCCTCATAAAAATGTGGTTGGGTCTAAATGGATTTATAAAACTAAATTTAATTCAGATGGGTCTGTTGAGCGATACAAGCAGGTGTAGATTTTTCTGAGACTTTTAGTCCAGTGGTTAAGCCAACCACGGTTCGTATAGTCTTGTCTCTTGCTGTTTCGTTTCATTGGAATATTCGACAGTTAGATGTTAAAAATGCCTTTTTACATGGTAATCTGACTGAAGAATTCTATATGCGTCAGCCTCCTGGCTTTGTGCATCCCCAATTTCCCCATCATGTCTGTCGTCTCAGGAAAGCTATTTATGGTCTTAAACAGGCTCCACGAGCCTTGTTTTATCGTTTCAGTAGTTTTTTGCTCACTCATGGGTTTGTTTGCAGCAAGTCTGATAATTCCTTCTTTATTTATCGTCATGGGTCCTCCATTATTTATCTTCTTTTATATGTGGATGATGTCATTGTCACTAGTAATTCCCCCTCCTTTATTTCCACATTTATTTCTTGTCTTGGCCGCTGCTTTGCTATGAAGGATTTGGGGGATTTACACTTTTTCCTAGGTGTCCAGGCTGTTCGTTTCCATCTGGTCTATTTTTGTCCCAACAAAAATATGTGTCTGATCTTCTCACTAGGTTTCATCTTCACACTCTCAAGCCTGTTCGTACTCCTCTTCTTACGCGGACTAAACTCTCTCTCTGATGGCGATCTTCTGGCAGATCCTACTGAGTATAGAAGTATGGTAGGTGCTTTACAGTATTTAACCATGACTAGACCTGATATTACATTTGCTGTTCACTTGGTTTCCCAGTTTATGCATGCGCCTCGTACATCACATATTTTGGCAGTTAAGCGTATTTTCAGGTATCTTCAAGGGACCATTGCACATGGTCTATTACTTCGGCCGAGCACGACCACTCCTACTATACAGGCATATTCAGATGCTGACTGAGCGGGATGTCCTGATAGTAGCAGGTTTACCTCTAGCTTTGCTATTTTTCTGGGGCCGAATCTGGTATCTTGGAAGTCTAAGAAGCAGCCGACTGTCTCTCGATCCTCCATAGAAGCAGAATACAGGGCCATTGCTTACACTGTTCAGGATACTTTACATATTCGTTCCATATTATTCGAGTTGGGATTCCCTATTCGAGAGCCAGTACAACTATTATGTGATAATGTTTCTGCCTCTTATCTGTCCACCAATCCTATTCAGCATGCCCGTAGCAAGCATATCAGTATTGACTATCATTTTGTTCGAGAGAGAGTGTCTCATGGAGATCTGTCTGTTCGCTATGTTCCTACACAGTTTCAGCTTGCAGATATATTTACTAAGTGCTTATCACCACAGCGATTTACATTTTTAGAGACAATCTGCGCATTGTTTTCCCTGCACAGCTTGAGGGGGTGTAATAGAGTAATTAATATTTTAATTAGGTTTCCATATTTTGTATGTTTCCTAATGTACTCAGAACACCTTTTATTATATACTTCCTCCGTTCTTAAATAAATGCAACAGTCAACATTTCACATTTGCCGAGGCACAACTTTGACCATTAATATATATAATTCCCGATTAGTAAAAAACGTTTAAAAAATAGATTCTGAAAATTTATAATGAGAAAATTTTAACAATAAGTTTTTCAAAAATATATATTATTACATTAATAAATAAAACGTAGTCAAAGTAGAACATGTGAATAGTGCAAAAAGTCCAACATTGCATTTAAAAGAGAACGGAGGTAGTATATGACATCTAGGGCTACCATATGAGTAAGCCTCCCAATTATTCTCACGGCAGAGTCCGTAATGACTTAACATACACCAAATAAATAAGCCAAAATGTAAAAACAAAATGCATATTATGGACTCAGAAATCGGAATACTGTACCTAGAACATTGGCATAGCTAAGGGCTGTGGCCCACATCAATTTTGGTAAGTACCATACTATCTTAAAATGAAGGAAAATTATTATTGGTTTGGGCCCTTTTCAAACGGGGCATGATGCCCATTTTTTACAAATTGAGGCATGTGTTTTCACTTTGAGAGTTTTCGTCTCAAGTTCGTTAGAAAAAAATGCGACATGTCATTTTTTTTATTCACGTCACCTTCTTTTTACGGCATTTAAATAGAAACCCTCAAAGTGAAAACACATGCTCTAGTGGAAAAAATGAACGTCATGCTCTTATCGAAAAACGGTCCAAACCACAAGTACTTTTCCTGTATAAAAGATTTGAATACAACCTTAAATCAAATGACTCGTCCCGCCCTTTTCCCAATGGATAAAAGATTTGAATACAACTTTAATTGAGATGACCCAGCCCCCATCATATATACTCCCTCCGTCCCTGAAACAAGTTCCACCTTTCATTTTTGGACAGTCCCTGAAACGAGTTCCACCTTTTCTTTTTGGACAGTCCCTGAATTAAGTTCCACTTCATTACATTTCCTTATTTGGCAAATAATCTACATCCAAACAGTGTCAAACAGCGTCAAACAATGTCCATACAGTAAAATTTATCTCCTAGTAAATTTATTTCCTTAATATGTGTGAAATTCATCTAGGAACTTCCTTTGGGGACGGAGGGAGTATATGCATGTTTTTGTAGTTGTTAAATGTCCCACACCGGAAAAAGTTTGGATGAAAGGAGTGTTATATTAAGCTCTGGGCTACTCCTCCTAATAGGTTGACCTTTTAGGATGGAACCCCAGGTCTTAACATGGTATCAGATCCAAATGACGGCACAATTCAGACGAAGTGTCTGGTCGTGAGGAGGGGTGTTAAATGTCTCACACCGGAAAAAGTTTGGATGAAACGAGTGCTATATTAAGCTCTGGACTACTCCTCCTAACAGGTTGACCTTTTAGGATGGAACCCAGGTAATAGTACAGTTATACAGAGTATGATGGTTGAATGCAGCATGTTATATCGATCTGCCCATTTAACTTCAGTCACTCAACAATATACGCAGGTATGTGATATGATCCATTACTCGAGAATTGAACGACTAACAAGAATAATTCAATGCACACTTAGACACATACCGACCTACGTAGGTACGTGTATGTAATAACCCACAAAGTAGTCAATAAATTGACTAATCTACCGAGTAAAATATTAATCAAATTTATAAACACCTAAATTCTGCTTCTTTTCTTCAGCAAAATGCGTGCCAAGTCCAGTCAGACATGCTCCCATCGGTAGTAATATAATTTTCTATGTACGTTTTGACTAATGTCCCTGCTGGGCGCTGGCCTCCTCATCATCATGCATTCATTATGTTCATTAATTATTACTCCGTCTTCAATTCTTCCCCTCCGTGCCACCTATTTATCTCATTACTTCTCCGTATTCCAAAGATACTTTGTTTTATTTATTTAAGATCAGTATATTTGTGTTCACCATCGATCAGCGACTAGCTCAAACAACTACAAGAAGGTGACAATTGAAAACATGCCAGAAGCATTGAACAAGGCATCTAATAAGGCAAAGATGATCAAGATATGGAAACTGTTGCCAAAATCAGTTGCCATGTCATCCTTCCCACAAAGCCTACGCCCGCTGTTTAGCCCCGGTGGCGGCCACAGACATAGTAATGAGAGGACAGAGGCGGCAGATCATCATCACCTCACGAAGATGACGACTATCCATTGCAAGAAAGGATTTTCTGGTCCGATCGTATCAATCATTCCACCAGATGCCCGAAGAAAACCGAGTACCCAGCAGCAGAGGCATGGAGAACCAACCTCTCCCAAAGTTTCATGCATTGGTCAAATCAAGCGGCACAAGAGTAAGAAGAAGCAGGAAGATAAGAGTAGTAGTAGTAGTGGCGGTGATAAGGAAGACTTTGGCAGGTGGTCTCTCACGACAATCAAGCAGCCGTTTAAGGAGAAACCCTCCTCGTCTTATTCTCTTGTTCGGAAACATGTATTATTTCACGGGAGGAAATCTGATGCTTCGGCTGATAAACCGCCACCAATGAGCTTGGGTCAGATCAAGCGCTTTGCAAGTGGCCGAGAGATATCGATGCTGTCTGAATTCACTTGTCCTACGCAGCAGCAGCTGCAGGCGCAAGCCAGTACTGGGATAGTGTATTGTTCAGATGAAGAAGAAGAAGATCAAGAAACCACAACATCACCACCGACAAAGCCGCCGCTTCAGCGGCAGGAACCAAGGAAGAAGGAAATTAATCTGTGGAAAAGAAGGATCATGGCTCAACCAAAGCCTCTTCATATTATCCATTAACACCTCCACCCATATATATCATATATGCATGGTCCGTCGGTCGGCGAGATGGACCCAAGCGAATTAAACTCGATCGTAATATGATGATGACGACGTTTTGGTTAATTGGCCGCCTCCAGATCGATCAGATCGACAATCAATACAGTTTTCTATTTTGTTTCTTGATCTTTCTGTATATTTTCTGGAGGCTCCTATCAGTTTCCTCGCCTAATATATAAGCACTTCATTTCATATTAATTTAATTCCATCATTAAACTTGGGAAGTTTACCTGTGTTAAAACAGATTGTGTTTAAGTTTCCCTAAATATAACAACCAACTTAGCATTAGTTTGTATCACCTTATTCATGTATGGATCTTATTTATTCAAATGATTAAATAACCTCTTAGGAATAACATATATGTAGTCATTATATTTATTTGAAACAAAACACCTCAATGGATGAACCAACTGCATGAGATCATATGCACGGGTTAAGGGGCTGACACTCTAAGAAGCCCCAACATAGAGAGAATGAATCATATTTATGAATATTGTCATTCTTTTAGTCATATTTAGAAAATTTTATTCCCTTCTACTAAACATGCCCGGTCTGTATTTAATAAATACGGTATATATGCCCGTATACCATAAACATGACACATCAATAGAAGACAGTATGCATGCCCACATGACGCAATATTCTATTCTAAAATTGCGCCATATGGTATTCTATATAAACGATAGATTCCCATCATGTGTGTGTTTAGGTGGTTATACTGAGTTTTGAAGTGGATTATATATTAAATACGCATGGAAACATTGTAATATCTATCTGATGGGAATATATGTGTTGAATTGGAAACTTGGAATTAGAGGATCTTGTCCCAGAATAAATTGCGTGTTGCATATTCTTATGATTGACCACACTTAACTAAACCTGGTCAAATTTGAAAATTCAGCCTAAGGGAACCACTCTTAACAGAAAATTTGTACAAAATCAGAAAATGTTAAAGATATTATATGCTTTTCTCTAGGAAGAGGGGAAAAACGCTTTGGTTATAGACTATCACCTAATTAATGATGATGCTTTGCCTGTACGTAACGGCACACAAGGTTTTCGTTGGTATGAAACCGAGCTAGAAGAAGCATGTCTCTGCAGATAACGTCCTCTCCGGCTGAACTCTACAACAGCACGCCGTCTGGTGACATCATCTATGTACAACATATCATCTATCCTTGCCATCAGATTGAATGATATGCTCTCCAACACCCTAGAATAGCTCTCAAGGATCGATTGCCCGACATCCTACATAAGAAAGAATAGATCTTATATATAGAGCCTGGCTGGTCACCGTCTTTTGGTAACAACGATCATTGAAATAGCTATTTAAATACAAATAAGATGGGGGTTAGCCCTAAATGCATTAATTAACTTATAAAGACTACTAACCCTGTTATATTGAATCTTTTGAATATCCAATGTAGTTTGGCGGAGCCCAGGTAAAGTTAGCTTCATGCTCCTAAGGATGGCCTCAGCTCGTTCTGACAACACTTTATCCCTTTCTTTATTATCATAATTATTATTACCAATCAGGCCCTTCATCGTTTCTCCCCACCGACTTTTGGAAACTGGATTGCGTTGCTTCTTCTTCTGGTGGTGTTTTTGCCTCCAGATATGCATAGCAGCCTCAACTCTATTGGCTATTTCTAAAGCTGTATACTCTGATGAGAGGTCCAAATAATCCAGAAGGCACTCCGAGGACAATTGGCCACTAGTAATGTCAGCGTACAGTATTTCACCTAAACACTGTTTTCCACTCTGAAAATTTCACAACCAAGATGTTGTTAGAAGTTTGAACAGCAGAAGACAAATTGTAGTTATGTAGAAATTGTAGTTCGGAACAAGAACCAAGACAAAGCACACAACAGTTATGGTTCTAGGGATCAGAACCGGAAAAACAATCTCCCTTCAAAGGTTTAGTTTTGATTTCAATTAGGATTAGGAGCCGGAACCTGGACCTCTCTCACCTATAACATTCTAGTGGTTCTGAAACCATGGACAGGACTTGGAAAGTGTAAAGAACTAAAGATGAAAAGCAGAAAGGACTCGGAAATCGTGCCATATTCGAAATGCAAAACATTAGTCACAAAAAGACTTCAAACTTCTGAGATTCAAAGATGGAGCTTAAAAATATAGAACCATCTAGATGGCAGGAAGAAAGAACAAATCCGATATAGTGGTGACCGGATATAAGCAGGAACATGAATTATATGACCAAAAGGGCAAAAGATATTGTTTCTTGTTCATATCCCGTACAATGTTTAAGAAGGAAATAAGCAGGAACACACTAGGTCAATAGCTAAAAACAATAAAACTTCCACAAAACTAACTGCTCCATTTCAGATAAAAAGGCTGGGATTATACCCTTTCACCAATACTAATCATTTGTATTGTATCAGCTATTCAAACTGCATTCATGCTTACCTTGGGTAAGCTCTCCAAGTAAACTTTTGGCACTTCCATCACAAAAAGGACAGTGGTATTTATTGCCAAAGCAGCCTTGAAGATTTGGCTCGTGCATTCCCTACATTGAAGCAACTGGTTTCTTGTTTTGTCAGACAAACCATTTGGTGGAACTTTCGGGAGCGGTAACAACCAGCCATCCTCTTCAAGCCTAACTGAAGGCCTGTGTGTAGATAAAGAACGAGGGCATGTTTCAATCTGTTGTTCAACATAACTAAATTCAGAGTCGCGAAAGCCGTCCAAGATGTTTATAAGAATTGCATCTAGTTTTTTTAGTGCTGGGAGATTGATGTACAGATCTGAGCGTGGTCGAGGCACCATAACCTCAATGGTTCCACCGCCATTTGGAGATTCCTGCATTGAAGGAACAAGCTCCACTATGGAATCACTCACGGAGAGAAGCCATTCCATCTCCCGGCCCCACATTGATATCTTCTGAGGTGCTAAAGGCTCCAGTTTCCAGAGCTCACCAAACACGGTTGCTAACATAGATTGGTTTTGGAAACCCCAAAGTTACAGATTACAATTAGCTACACATTTCATGAAGAAGATTGAAAACAAACTGCTAGAAATTTAGATAAGCAAACCTGCAAGATTTGTAATGGCATTAGACATAGCAAGAGCAGTGCACACTCCCTGTCTCCCACCAGACATATCTTCCCCTAACAACAGCTTTGCAAATCGATCCTTCATCAATTCAACTTCTGAAAGGCATGAAAAATGGCTCAAATGTTAATGTTCTTAAGTCAGAATATAGCTCGATTAAACTGATGCAACTCAAGGATTGAGAGCACTGGTATGCATCGTTCCGTATCCTTTAAGAACAAAAAATCAACGAATGAAAGAAAAAAGAGCTTGTCACCTGACATTTCAGTTTCGGGTTTGTGGGGCTTCAGTGCGGGGATGATGACGTGTCTTCCACCGAAGACCTCCGGCAACATGATCGGGGCCAGTGGCGGCGAATTCCCGCCTGGGCCGCGTAAAGTGGAGAAAAGAGAGGAGGAAGGGGCCTGGCGGTCGCAGGAAAAGCTAGTGCTAGTGGTGGAGCTTTCCGACTCGCTGACATCGGCGTCGAAGCGCTCGCTTTCCGCACCAAGCTCACAGTCCGACCCGCTTGCCATTCCGGCCAGCCCAAGAAAGAACCAACCTACGATAAGAAATTCATTTCCGGTTTTCTGCAAAATCTAGAGTTGGCATTGGTGATTAGGAATGCACAACTAAAGTATTAAACCATAATGCAAGTCGCCACTTTATGTCATACACGACAATAAAGGAAAAGTTTGTTCTGCACAGTCTTTAAACTTGTATTGGAGAAGAAGGCTGTGTGAAACAATTCCAACGTATGGTTTTTGCTCTTTCTTCTTCTTAGCAGGTATAGCAACTTAAAAAAAACATATCATCAATAATTATGATATCAAGAGCTCAAATAGCAAGGTCGGTTCAAGAAAAGTAGAGTATTTTTAGTCTCTCACGTAGTCACCTTATTGAAATGTGAGATACATATTTCTAAGTTTTTAAATGTCACACCACACTTGTCCACATTTTACATCTCGCCCACAGTACATTTCACTATTCAAACGATCACATTTACAACAATTTGGATGATTGAGAGGTGATATTTACAAACTTAGAAATATGTATTTAACATTTCAATATGGTGACTATTTCAGGGAATAAAAGTGCAATTTTCCCTATTGTAAAATACCAAAAACTTTTACTTTTTGTAAAGTCTACAATAACTATTTTAAATTGTGTGAAAAGGTAAATGACAAATTATTTGGATATGAGGAAAAATAGGTTCTTTTCTGCCCAAACTTGTTGGGCACTTGGGCTCATCTCATTTATTCCATCCTACTTAAAATTGATTCTGCTCCTTCACGGAGCACAAACATATATTGGAGTGTTTGGATGAAATTTCGGAAGTACTTCAGCGTGCTCCAAATTGCTCCTAGAAACAGTTTTTAGAAGTTGGGGAAGTTCGGCTTCTGAAAACTGATTTTTGCTTCTACTTTCAAACAAGAAGTAGAAGCAGAATCAATTCCAAACACCACATTACTCTTCACTAAGTCAAAGGATGTAGTCTGAAAAACATGGCATATGGTTATAAGAAAAATCAAGGGAGAGATCAGCTAACAAAAAAGATAACAGGATAGAGGAGAGAAAAAACACTTCTGGGCAGAAACATTTCTGCTCGCCCAACTTCAGAGAAATCACGATCGTGAAAGCATCCATGGTCAAGTTATGATGATATTTGACTGGAGGTTACCAAGATACAGGCCTGGATTGATGGATTCTGAACGGTGGAGATTGGATTTAGATGGTCGGATCGCCTGAAATCATTTCTGAAGAGACCTACAGTTTTTGGGTGATTTCAATCCTTTTTCTTCCCCTTTGTATCGAAGTTTTATACTTATTGGGCTGTTGTATTATCATATTTGATGTTCAGAGACTCTCTTGTACTCATTCGTTGTTGATTAGTGAAGAGTTTGGGTGGATGGAGGTCCTGTGGCTTTTCCTCTTCGATTTGGTCAGAGAGGTTTTCCACGTAAAAATTATGGTGTTCTGTGCTTTCTTGGTTCCATTTTATTTTATAGCTTTCTTAAGTTGTTATTCATCTTCTGCTTATGTCTTGAAGCCATTCACTATTATGTGCTACAGAGTATTAAATTCGGAGTCTTGTGATTTTCTTGCAAACTTGGGAGAATATTTGTCAAGAATATTTAGGAAGTGTTTGCAGCTGCTTCTGCTTAAAAAAAACACTTTTGGAGATGTAAGGAAAAAGTGATTAGTAGTAAAAGTTGATAGTGTTTGAGAGAAAAGTGATTTTGAAAAGTAAAAGTTGGTAGTGTTTGGTAAAATAAGTGCTTTTTGTGTAATAGAAAAGGGAAAATCACTTTTCACACGCAAGCCGAGAAAAAAGTAAAAATTGATAGTGTCTGGTAAATAAGTGTTTTTAAGCCAAAAGCTGAGAAGTGTTTTTTTTAAGTTGTTGCAAACACTCATACTTGCTTGTCTTTGTGAATGAATTACGTTGACAAGCAGAGTTTTTGTTCCCTACAAAACTGGCGAGTCAAAAACGGGTTGAGTGCAAGGATACGAAACAATTTCTATTTAGATGTAGAGAAAAGTACAAAAGCGAATTCGTTTATTACGAGTAATTATTTAATGAATTGCAAAACATGTGTCTTTTATCAAATGGATTTTGCTTGTTGTACACTCTGATGTGTATGCACGCCACTTTTTTCTCTTAATATACAATTCTTTGTTTATATCACTTGACAAAAATTTGTTCCATCAAAATGGAGTCAAACATTTTATGAAGCAAATGTAGTCAAACATTCTGTTGGCGTGAGAATATGATGAAATAAAATAAAATGACTCACTAAACTGTCAGCACTTCTTTGTTATGAAGCAACAGTCAGTCCATGCAATTTTGGACGCAATTTTCATTATGAGTCATCCCGAAACAGTCTCTCTATGCTTTAGTACAGGGGTAAGACTGCATACTTCAACCCCCCTACCCCACTGTAGGTGGGAGCCTTTGCGACACTGGAGTAAATGATGATGATCACTGACAAAAATATTAATCTGTGACACAACAAAAAATTTTCCCTCTTCACAGAAAAAAACAGGCATGTACACAGGCCGTGTATAAACAACAATTTTCTTATCAAATATCTTGAATTTATAGTACAAGGAGGTGGTAAATGCATCTCAAACGAGATCACATACCTTGGTTCTTCCTGGGTATTTTGGGAGAACCAATGTACACAGGAAGAACCAAGGTAGCGCATGAGTCGTATTTTGGGAATAACATAATGATAATTAGGGGTGGTCGCGGTTCGAGACGGTATGGTAAATTAGCAAAACATGTAATGTACTCGTGAGGTTTCTAATGGTCCGGTACGATTATAAGGATGAAACCATTCATACCATGTCATTACGGAACGGTAAAAAAGGGTATAGAACAATGCCAAACTAATGCAACTTTTTTTTTGGATAAAACTTGTAATTAAACGTTACCTGTTGGGTGTGTTTCGGAAAATAAAGAAAATTAATTAAAATAAATTAATTAAATAAAATGACTAGAGAAAAACAAGAAAGGAGATGAAGCAGAATTAGTCAAAGCTCGTGCTACGCACGATGTCCTTAAAACGTATTTGTTGCCTCCCACGGTGCTAGGAGCGTTGCAACAATCGTTTCCCAGGATACGATGACTACGAACTAATGTTTGAGCACACAAACAAAAGTTCCAGCGAACGAGAACACAGGGGAAATTTTCGGAATGCTAGCAGTGTGTTTTTAGAGCTAAAACGTGTATGGATTTGTGTAAGAACGTGCAAGAACGTGTGTTGTTGCAAACCACCTGCCAGCCCTTATATAGGAGGATTTGTTGTGTGTAAATGGTGAATTAATGGACCTGAACGTTGGACATCAATGACCAGTCCGTTGGGCATTGAATCGTCCATGAATTGTCCATTTAACGCTGCATTAAAAGATAAGAACGTTGGGCATTAATTGTTGTAACGTTTCAGAAGTGCGAGAGAAGACCTCCATCAGAACTCCCCGGGAGGGGTTCTGATCGGAGGCCAACTCTGATCCGCGGCCATCAGAGTACCCCCAACTCTGATGGGCGGCCACAGAGTACCCCCAACTCTGATGGGTGGCCATCAGAATACCAACGAGAGGGGTTCTGCCATCAGAAGACCATCGAGGTGTTCTGATCCGAGCACTTCTGCCGCTGGGAAAAAAATTAAACGTTTCGGGAAGAAAACAAAAATTAATCGTATCTCTTGAGAGATAGATTTTTGGACGATATTCGTGTCCGCAGGTCGCCCGCGCACGCAAGTCGCGGTTTTTCTTCTCCGATTTCGGGATTTGATTTGCACCCCCCCCTGCGCGCGTGGAGAGAGCCTCTACCCTAAGGAATCTTAACTCCTTAAGGGGGGAGTCCCTTTATAAAGGGTTGCAAATCCCTTGGGTTTTCCGGTGTGGGAAATTAACACTAGAAACCCATCCTTTTTCCCAGTTTTTCCATTCTAACGGGTAAACTTCGAAAAGCGATTTCTCATTCACCCGTTATCCGTTTTGAGCGTACCATATATCGAATTGTAGCCCTTAACAAGGACAATCCGAAACCACTTTGACCCGACCCAAGTCGGAAGTGGACCCCACTCAAAAAATTGCCCCAAAATAGCCATTTAATGCAATTTTTCACACATTTTTCCAACATTACCATCATACTAGCCAATTCACATGAAATGTTGTTAGTAAAAATACAAGAAAGTGCATACTAAATGATAGGAAAGATTCAAGAGGCTCACATTTTCCCGTCTTTAAATTTGCAAATACATAAATAGTGCAACACAACTAAGGAAAAATATAGCAAAATTATGATACACCAAATAATTATCATCTTTATTAAGTTCATGTGAAAATATAAAAATAATATCATCAAATTGTTGAATATAATAGAAAAACTCATCATTCTTCTTCTTTGTTGTGGGTTGAATATAAGTTACTCCGTATAATTTATAGTTGACCACGGGAATTAAGATTTAAACCATATTAATTAGTTGTATAATTAATACAATGGAAAGTTATATACATTTGGGCATCACCATCCATGAGATTATTTGGTGATTATTCTAATGACATGGCAGATTATTTCGGGGAGCATGATTGAGTGAGAGAGATTATATATTGGGCAGGATTATATTAACTAACAGAATAATCTGAGATCAAAATACGAAACCGAATTATTTTGAGATTATTTATGAAATTAGAGTTAATTAGTTAATACAAAACCCACAAAAGATCAGATTATTTCGGGATGATGGTTGAAAGTAATTCAGAGGGGATGATTATTTCTAAAACAATTATGGGCAAAATATTAAAAGGTAAGAATCACAAAAAATCATATTATGTTAGAAGCATGGATGTGGATGCTCTTGCATTACTGGAAATCAGTAGTCATTAATGATTTTTAAAACTTTAACATTCTTTCAATATATACCAAAATATAACATAAATTATCTAAAAGGATAAAATAGCAGAATTTTAAGGCTTGGATGTTGTTGTTGTTGTAGCAGAATTTATATAAACACACACTTTTAGCTATTTTAGAGATGCATGAATATATACTCGGGCTGTGAAACAAGGAAATTGTTGGTAATTTGGTATGAATGAGATGTTTATTGGTATGGAGAAATATAAGCGTCTCAAATGCATTATTGTTGAATGGCCTGATCCAGTATTTTTCAATTCTCAAAATCCAAGTCCGGTCATGTCCCCATTTGAAACGCTAAAAAAATCTTATATTCAATTTGGGCTAAAAACACTATTCGATCATACGTCCTGGGACTTGCAGTCTCAGAAACTATCCCCCACTCAGGGGCAATAGGATTCACTAATTCTCACTTGGGCAAGTGTATGTCAATCGTGATCGACAATGTATTCT